GGGGTACCGTTACAAAAATAAAAACGGAGGCTTTGCGTCTTTGGTCTTGCCTTTCTTTTCATAAGGTCTTAAGTCTTAAACATACCATTCCATTGAATCAAGGTTGGTCCACCACCGGTACCATAAGTGAAGTGTCCTACGTGTATTTATTTTTTCATGTGAAACGAAGAATAACAGCTGTTCCCATCCACCAGGGAGGGTACGTTCTTCAATTCCAACCTGAGAACGAAACAACGTCACATCCGAGTGCATCGTTTCCAAGGGAAAAAAGAATACGCCTTCAATAACCGTTCTGGAAGTAATGCCATCAGTTTTGAGGTAAAGCTGATGTGAAATTAAGCAGTGTGTCATGAGATTGATTATTATAAGATTGGGTGCGTTGTGGGGTTAGGTTAGTGGCGTTATGAAATCAATTAACGCTCTTTGTTTTAATCGCGTCAATATAACATTACACCTTCTTTGTGATATGGTCATTGAATACGTACCATCTCTGCCTATAAGTAAGATTGAACAATAAAAGACTGTTAAAACCTGTCCAAAGTAGTAAAAGTAAGAGACTTGGATGGGGGTGTCACACGCGAATGAAATGCATTGATTAAAGAATCTATGTCTCTCTGTTCACATTCATAGTTAGTATTGCTAATGAAATAATTAAATGAAAAATACGAGGAAGATCTCAGACATAAATGGGGTTTTAAATCACATGTATGCGAACTGGCTATTTTCCTAGATAAATTTGGACTGAAATTACAAGACATGCACAATGCATAAAATTATTTCGTTGAAAGCGAGTCTAGGATAGGTTAACACAAGTGTTACCTCGTGCACCGCCTTGGTATATGTTGTACCCTCTAGTTATGCATCCATGAACTGAGGTGCTGTCGGTACCATTTGCCTGGTGCGTCAGTTCAACTGCCACATGCCTTCGTTCATCTACAAAACCGAAGCTGATTTATGTAATCTACGGTTAAAGTTATTTAAAGTTTAAAGATGGGGCCATTCATTTTTGTACCGTTCCATATGTAGAACTATTTAAGATATGATCTGAGTTGTCAGAAAATTTGTAATGCTGCAAAATTGGAAAACAAAATTGTCAGTATGCAAACATGATATATGTATAGCCACCCACATAGTAAGTAGTTAAGAAGCTAAGTTTCATTAAGAGGACAGGTAGTTTGGATTTAAACTACGACATCTGTCGGCCCACGTGTCCTAATGTATAATACATGTACAGAATCGTGTTGTCATCTTATTCTGATCCAGTCATGAAGTGTTTCTGGTCTTTGCAATTCCCAGGTGAGCAAAGATGTCTACGTGGAAGGCTTCATTATTTTCGGCACATGCAGGACAGGAGAGCACGAACTTGAGGTCAAGGGTTTCATCCTTGACCCCGCAGACAAGGTCATGTGCTCTGTGGAAACATCTGTCGTTACTTCCGGGAAAAAAGACTCGTATGACGTCATATTTGATGAGTCTGCGAGAGTACACCAAGGCACAATGTACACCCTGGTTGTAGATATTAAAGGGTCTCACACTTTCGCCGGGGAAGGAGGCCGAATGGCAGCGTTAAGCAATGACGTCATTTTCACCTTTACTCATTCGGAGAAGTCCCTGACTGGGACAACTGTGAGTCATGGTCAGCTGCCAGGTCTGATCTGCTCTCTGTGAGACGTAGCGTGACAGAGTGACAAAAAGTATCGCTTATACGTATATGTATGTAAATGTACATTGTTGGGTAATTCTCCCGAAAACCTGGATTTTCTGTAAATTGGGCAGTAAATCTTAGATTTCAGCCAAACTTTTTGAAATCGTAGTAGGTACAACTTTGATGTTTAGCTTTTATACTCACAGAGAGTCACAGAGCTATATCTTGTTTGGTTTCTTTAGAAACTGAAATATAAAGTGAGATGAGTGTGCTGTGGTCTCAAACGTTACAGGACGAAGCAATAGCGGTGAAAAATGAAAAATGTCGAAATAGCAGAAAAGCAAACCAGTACTTTCTTTTAGGAAAGTTCTATAGAAAGCCTATGTAATTTAGTTTAGCCATGTAGGAACAAAACAGATCAATGTTATAGGCTACAAGAGTAAGAAAACAGGGTTTCTGTCGAAAACGTTTCCAGACAATGGAGAAAAAGAATCACGTATAAAATGTAAATCAATCTTACTTTTTAACCCCTTCTCAGAGTCAGTAATTAAGGCATGATCATAAATAGAGCTACATGCATTGCCTGGACAGAACTGTGTACATATGTCCTGGAACGCTTGTGATGTTTTAGACGTCGGTGGCCTAGTGGTTAGGCTCTCGGACTCGCAACCGTAAGGTCGTGGGTTCGAATCCCGTCAAGGGTCCGACGTTGTGTCCTTGGGAAAGGCACTTTACACGAATTTTCCTCACTTCACCCAGGTGGGAATGGGTACCCGGCTACAGACAGCGAAAGATCTTGTCAGTTTGTTAGTGTTTGAGCGCTTAATCGGATGCTCGCACTGTATGCTTCCCGGGAAGCTGAGAATGTTTCGGAGTGTTCTATGGTCTGCTGGGGTAATAATATAGTGTAAAGCGCATAGAGCCTGCTGCTGAGCGGGGATATGCGCTATACAAATGCTATCTATTATTATTATTATTAGACACCCATGTCAAAACTCATTTTCTCCACTTATTAATCTACATATTATGTTAGTAATTTCTATCTGCACAAAACAGATCCAGTTCAAATCGTTACTTATTTACTTGCTTACTTACTTACTTACTAATTTGCTTACTTACTTGGCTACTTGTTTGGCTACTTGCTTACTTATTTACTTGCTAATTACCTGCTTACTAGCTTACTTATTTACTTACTCACTCTCTCCCCATATCACTCATGTACATAGGGCGGGAGGCAGTCGACTCCACACTTGTCATTCTGTCCTTGGCCACGCTTTCCAATTTCGGCCCATCCACGCCTGGGGTGGCTTTATAGTGCCTCTATGGCTTCTAGTTGGTCTTCGTCTTTTTCTTTTTCCAGTTGGTCTCCAATACCATTTCTAATAAGGCAATCTTGTCTTTTGCATTCTTAGAAATTGCCATAAATATCTCCATTTCCTCCTTTTTATGGTCGTGTTGATATATCTTCAAGAATCTATTCCAGTTCTTTCCAACATTCCGATTTATTAACCCCCAAAAAATTCGTAACCGTCTTCGTTACTTACGAAATTCAACTCGTTGTCCACTTTCCCTTTCCTACTTTCGAAACAACGAATATTATTAAAATCAAAACCGATCTCCCCTTTCTTTGATGGGTTTTGCCATTTTACCAAAAATATCTCGTAATTTGCACTCAAAATAGTGATAGTTGTTAAATGTGCCAGCTCAAGTTTTCAGGAGAATTGCCCGTTTTACAATAATTATAGCCCCCTTCTATATTTTTACTTTTCCTTCCTCTTGCGTCGTTAGTAGTTGAGGGGGCGGTGCAAGAACATTTTAGTCAAGGGCTAAGTGGGTGGCATCTCCGCTTGGGCTACTGCTTGATTTATATTTTTTAATTGCATTTGTATTTTTTGTAAAAATATTTTTTTCGATTTTATTTTATTCGTTTGGAGGGGGGGGGGGGGTGGGCATGCTCATCTGGAGACCGACCCACTTGTTATTTTGGTGTTCAGTGTGCTCCCATGACTGGTTTTGGTTTCATCTTTGGTAATTCACACGCAGTTTTGTTCTATGTGCAGTCATATTGCTGATGACTACTTTCATGATATTGTATTTCTGTTTTGGCTTTGTTGACTCTCATCTGGTATTTTTGGTATTTTTTCGAGTATGATTTGTAGTTGTGGATTTTTGCATACGGTTGATGTTTCAAACATGGGTTCATTTGTACTGGTGTTGTCGTTGCATGTACTGTCAAACCTCGTTGTGCCACCCCCAGCTATACCGTCAGTGTTTTGTTTTGTTTTTTGTTTGTTTTTTGGGGGGGAGCGGGGGTTGTTGTTGTTTTTTGGCCAGTGTACGAAGAGGGGGCAAATATTACACAGGTATAAACGTAGTGACTGCGCCTTCACACTGCCATCCGCCAAATGTCTGAGTTGCACTCTGTACATGTACAGCCTTTGTTTAACTACATTTTAATGTAAATTTGCCTCGCCATATTATTGCCAGCCAACTGACCGCCAGAGGTACACACTGCACCCAACACACCTAAAACTACAAGGTTTGCAACTTGACTACTTGATAATGTGTCTTCCACGAAAAAGACATAAGCTCAGTAGTAGTAGAGATCAGATAGAAAGAGAGAACATTGTCGGCTCTGAATACGTGGTGGATGTACATGTACGCCCTACATTGTACCGTTGCATGTATTATATCACCGACAAATAGACAATTCAAACACAGCTTGCACAGCAGAATCGACGGACGGTACGGCAAAACAAACAACAGAGGAACCCTGTCGAACCGCCAGCCTCAATGTTCCACCAACTTCATGCTCGTCACACGGGTGGTGATTTAACGATGTTTGAATGTTGTTGTTTTCTTCTCTGGTGGCTCTCTCCGTATTTATTAATCTGGAGAGACGTGACCACATCCCACTGTCTAAGGCATATAATCGCTGAGTAGATGAGAATTGGTGTTCGTATAAATCTTACGGCACAAATACTATTTTCATAAAGCACCATGGTGTGTTTTTAAAAAAGAGTTGGCCTTTCCTTTCACTCCATCTCCAGCACTTTCCACGGGAGGCATCTGTTTACGCTGCCGAAAGACTTTTCTTGGTCCACAAAAACCACTATATTTTGTTCCTTGAGTTTGATTCCTGTTTCTCTCATCTTTTTATTTTCCAACATAGATCTAGCTCTACTTATGTATTCAACTTATCTGTCCCCGTGGTTTTATGCACCCCGCCTAATTTAGCAAAATCTGATTATTTTTTGCATAATTTCTGATTACTTTCCTATATCATTCTTTGTAAAAAAAAATTAACAGAATCGCATAATTACACATTTTTGGGCTCGGTTGGCATAATTTCAAAATTTTTCTTGCTTAAAACGGCGGGGACAGACTTAATCTTATACCAATGAAAATGAAAAGGTGACATCTGCATCTTCTACTTTCCTTAATCCAAAATGGAATTCGATCATTTGGATTTCCCTGGTCGGTCTGCATTCTTGTGTGTGTGGGTATACAGAGAGAGAGAGAGAGATAAGGAGAGATGAGGAGAGACAGACAGACAGACAGACAGACAGGCAGAAAGACAGACAGACAGACAAACAGACAGAAAGTGTGACACAGACAGAAAGTGTGACGATGATAAATGGTGACATTTTATGCATGTAAAAAGCTCCAGGACGCGTTCTTTTCCTTCTCATTCTGCATATGATCAATAGTAATTAGTAATTGTTACTGTTACTAGTTACTGAATGAGTTTACGGCATGAAGATATTAGTAATAAATACTTCATTTTTGCTTCAATTCACGACGTAGTGGTGTTGCACTAACTTTGTACGCGCCTGCATGTCCATGTGTATGCGTGCGTGCGCGTGTGTTTGTAGGTGAGTGTGAAGCGCCAACCTTGAGTTTTGAGAGACAAGAAGCACAACGACACAATTGTCAATTATAATGGTTCTATAAAACTACAATATAAGCGTAGATCAAGCGCAGGGAACAAGACTTTAGTAATACTACTAATACAAACAGAAACAACAGAAGTAGGAGCTACTGGTGGCGCCCTCCAACGATTCACACTGACTGCTAGCTTTGTGCCTACACTGTACATATGTACTAAATTTTGATCATTGGATTATTAAAACACAGACGACTATTTTTTATACGTACACACGTACGTGTGTTGCAAAAAGAGGGTTTCAAGCGAATGTCTTTTAAACTATAAAGTATAATAAGCTACAGTAATGTGTACATGTATGTTTTTTGTCCAGACCACGAAATATTGTGTGAATTTTTTTTAAAATCGTTTTTCATATATAGGGAAAAAACAAAAATCTTCCTCCAGAGCACATTCATGAATCATTGCCATTTCTTTTAATGCAAGTCTTATAAATGAAGGAAACAGTGAGCACGAAGCATAAATGTTCATTAAGAGTAGAGTGGAGAGAGAGAGAGGGAGAGAGAGAGAGAGAGAGAGAGAGAGAGAGAGAGAGAGAGAGAGAGAGAGAGAGAGAGAGAGAGAGATGGTGTTAGAGGAGATAACTCTATCATACTCTATGGTGCGTCTTGTTCCTATGAAGGGAGGCAATGTCTACTTTACTTTGCATTGCAAGCAAGATGCTCGATTTGCGAACTGTGCAGATCATGCCCCCTCTTTCCTCAGAAATCACTGGTTTCTTTAACTAATTTGAGTCAGAGTGCACGAAGTCCTGAAGTTTCATGATACGTTTATTATGGGAAAATGTATATTTTCAAACTGTACAGGAAAGAGGTGTCTCCTCCATTGTAAAAAAAAAGATGGTATTTTTACATTTTTTGTGATACAATGAACAATGCAGCTGCAGCTGTCAGAAATAGAGCGCCTTTGAGGGAAGTTACATGCCTTCGCGGCATTGCACTACCCTTCAAAACGATGTGAAGAAAGCTCTTCAAGGTGATGTTGAATTGTGTCTCTCTAAACCATCGTAACGGTCAGGTCAATTACATCAAGTATACAGTAGAACAGGAGGCTGAATCGACGCAGTGCCTACATGACTACATGTTGAAATGTGCCTATGGTTTGACAACTGCTAACTGCAGAAAACTCGTGTATGAAGTCGCTGTTATTGCAAATCACCGAAAACTTTTCGTACCCATCATCGTGGGATGATGCAAAATCATCAATGTGCCGGAAAGGCATAGTGACCCAGGAGTCTCTGGAGATTAGATACTCAATCTTGACGAAACAGGAATCACAACAGTTCACAAAGTCCCAAAAGTCATCGGACCTTGTGGTGGCCTACTAAGCAGTTGGGTCAGAAAACATAAGCAGAGCATAGCGTGGTGTGTGAGTTCTCAACAAGAGCCACCTAGTTTTACTAGTTGGAGTTGTCAAAGAAAGAGACAAAGGTGATGTTGGGGTTGATTTTTTCAGAACAAAGGGCAAAAAGAGCCCACACTTAATTTGTAAAACCAATAGTGGAAGAAAGATATTTCTTCAGTCCATATTGACTCAATCAGAGCAATTTTACCCCCACCCACATTGTGAATTCAGAGGCACTATTGCAAGAACCATAGGTGACATCTATTTCTATAAAATTCTAGGTTGACTTTTGACACTTTGTAGGTCTCAATAGGTTAAATTCCATATTTGTGCCGTTGTGAGGAACATATTTTTTTACAGATGTCACCTGTGGCCCACTTCTCCCCATGGGGGGGTTTTCTCCCCACAGGGGGGGGGGGGGGGCAGTTCTCCCCACTTGTAATGTTGACTTCAGCATCCTACCATTTTCATACCATCTCTGTTGTACCTCTTGTTACTATACCGGTAACTGTTTTTTTAAGCATAATAGAAGTTGTTTAGATTGATATAAATTTTGTCCCGTTTTTTCAAAACTCCTCCCATGGTGGCCCACTTCTCCCCACTCTCCCACATGTGATGTATCAATAATGCACTTGTCTGGATGGCAAGCTAGCTGCAGCATGTTTTATACAATGAATAGCCATAGCCCCGTCAACCCATATTGCCTTGAACATTTATTTTTTGTAAAATGTATGAAATGTGCACAGTAGCAAGAACTACCAGTATCAAGCTCTATTCAGAAACCTATTTTAACGTCAGTGGCTGCCTTTTGTACTTCAGCACTCTATGCTCCACATTTCAATATATGTAGTGTAGACAAATTGTCCAAGACCACAGACGAAAAGGGTCATTCCTAACCCTGCTGGCCCAATCCTTCAATAATAAACAAACTAGATCTAGTCCACTTAGGGCAGTCAGTCATACTGCTGCAACATGTTGGATGTACACACACACACCCTAATCCAAGAACACATTCTACACTACAACTACAAAATTTGGTTTTAGTTTTAATATACAAGTGTTATGACACTTACAAAACAATTAGGTCATACAAGTGCCGATGATTAGAAGTGTTGAGTAAAAACAACCCCAAAAATGAGATTACAATTTAACCTTTAAGGATGACGATAGTTTAGAAAGGTGTGCGTGTGTGTTGGTAAGAAGAGTTATACAGCGCTCGCAACCTCAGCAAATAAGGGCTTACTCAGAAAACACTTTCGAACTGAAGAAATATGTAAATTTCTCTGCTCTATAATCATATACCATCCATCCTCTCAACAAAAATAATTTCTACAACTTATGACCGAGTTTCTTGGTGTCAGAAACAAGGCCTTCTGATCTAAGTGGCAAGTACCAACACTTGGAGCTCCCAGGAGCCGTGCTTGTCATTTTCGAAATGGACAGTTGGCAGAGGAAAAAATCCACAACATCCAAGTTCAGACCACTGGTTCAACCCAAACCAAGATTATCAAAAATAAATGCATCAAAAGACGACAAAGCCTTCTCAGACTTAACCCCCTCTGCCCTAAAAAAAAACCAACCCATCAGAAACAAAGTGTAACAACAGTGATAAGACTTGTACCAGCACAGAAAGAAAAAAAACATAAAACATCAAATAAAAGAAATTCACACCCAAAGTTACATTCTCTAATTGTTTATTGAATTCCCCATCTAGTTCCTGGGCCCAGAAGGAGGCTGTCCACGTCCAGAGAAGGTGGGAGCTGGGGGGGTCACTTGCAGGTTGGGCAGATTGGCGAAGTCCTGGCAACGAGGAAAAAAAAATTTGTAAGCTCATGGCATCTCGATCATTGAAAAAATAACACAATATAAAATCATTTGTTATCTACATTATAAGTGTACAGCAGGTGTGATAAATGAAATGCTTTGACATATATGGGGACCCAACAACTGGGCTTACAGCTATCAATACAATCCAGCCATAAACCTTGCATTTCCAAAAAGAATGACGTTTCCTGTGTTCTCATCATCAAAATCCAATAAAATCCCAAATATTCATGAACACCTCCAAAAAGAAACCTTGGACCCGACAAAGTAGCTAGCACAACGAACTTCAACAAAAGCTTAATTTGCCCACAACAATGTCTTTTCGCATAATTTTAAGCTGCAATGCCTTAAATTTTATTCTTGTCATTCAAGGTCCATATTATATTACAGAAAAACACTTTCACTTGAGAGCAAGTACCGTAGCCTATAGAGCTTGCATGGTGATTTTAAAACATTCAAGGTAGAAATTTACCCAATTTTGAAAGTGAAACACATATCTGACTTATAATACCCAAAACAGCCGTTGTGCCGCTAGATCAGGAAAGATGCCATTTGTCAAAACTTTAACCACGGTTTACCCATCCGAATAGCCTTCAAATAGGCCCACTAGTAGACGTTGGTTCAAAATGTGCGGCATTGTGGAGAAATCAGGCGCTCGACAAAATAATGGAAGTTGAAAAAACCAACATTTTTTGCAAACATTAAGCAACTTTTTTTTTAAAAATGTTTTGGTGTTTTTGTTGCTAAACACCGTTTGTGCCCATGACGCTGTGGACGAACTGTCACCATCTATTCACCTGTCGTTATTTTTTATCACTCAAATAAATTAGCATAAGTTGCTCTCAGTGTTTACCCAAGTTGACCAATCCGTAACAATAAATTTTCAACCCCTGATGAAGGAAGCATGCAATCCTTTAAAACATATAAGCCCCACCCACTGATCAAAAGTGAGATGAGCGGCCACAACAGACGTGTCAACGCGAACTCGCAACAGAAGTGTGGCAGCACATTTGCTTTACTATGGCACATTTAGTTTTGTTTTAACCTTGCACAAAAACCACAATTTTAACAACTTAAACAAAACAAAATCCAAACAAAAACCTTCCTAACACACCCCCCCCCCCCAAAGTATGAAACTAAAAAACCTTTGTTTGAATTATAGTTACAGCAGTACTAAACCTGAGACCACCCCAGCTGGGACCTGAGAAGTAAGTGGGCTTTTTCTGGATTTTTATCAGTCCTGCGTATGATGGCCACCTGTCAATACATTCACTTTTCTTCTCGACAATGCGAGCCAACCTTACACTGCGTCTCTCTTATTTCAGATAGATGAGTACTTTTTTTTCATTCAACAAAGAAAGGAAAATGAACAACTTTCAAGATGATACCAATAACCCCCCATATATATGAGTAAAAATCTCAATCTGCTTGTTATAAAACCCGAGGGCAAGAAAGATAGCCTCTTATAAACTGATCCACATGTCATGTTCTCTGAACTGTCTATGCAAAGAGCGCCTCGATTGCTCATTCCACCCAAAAGCCAGAAACATATTTTCTACATAGGCCCTACATTCCTAATTCAATGGCATCCCATGCACACTTGGTTAACCCAAACTTAGGCATCTGTCACTGACGCTGCCCTACCTGCTACCAATATTATACCAACTGTTCTAGGAACAGGTCCAAGACCACCACATCATGTACCACCTGACCCGCTGCAACAAATCATTGGCCCCCCTACAATGGTCAGGATATCACCCCTCCCCTCCCCCCCCCCCCCCCCCATTTAAATGGGCACCATGACAGTCATTAGCCTGTGACCACCTCCAGTCTGAACCTCAGAAGGTGGGGTTTTTTTCCTTCCTTTTTATCTGAACTGACCAGAAAGACCGTCCGCGTAACAGAACAATTTTTCACATAGACTAGGAGTGGTCATCTTGAACAGGTGTTAAATGTTATTGTGTTCTTTAGGGTCAAATGTAAAGAAAGAAAAGAGTGAACTTACCAGAGCCTTCAACATCTCCTTTGTGTCTTGGTCAACCTCAATAACTTCGAGCTCAAGAGCAGATACCTGGTGAGAAATAAATTGTGAAAAGTAATGAACGCAACACATGAAACCCATTAACTATAACGCTCCACACAAACATGACACTTAGATCACTGAGGAAATTTAATCAAGAAAAGTAAGACAGCAGTACAAAAAAAAAAAAAAGGGAATCAGCACATAAATTCATCCTACTACTAATAGTGATTGCTTAGTCTATAGTCTAAAACAAGTGTTCTTCAGCTTTGGCCACCTACATATATATGTATATAACCTCCCACATATCCTTTGGCACTAGCTGCAATTTTAACCTTTTGAAGGGGACACATGTTTAACTGTATGAGCCAATTCCTCGCCCAAATCATTGATGACACCAGAGTCAGATTTGCACAGCATGACACAGTTCATTTTTATGTTCCGTTAAGCTGAAAAGTATGGAAAATTCTGTCGGGGCCAGCGTCCCAGTGGAGGTTCAGGGAAGAACACCCCCCCCCCCCCTTCCTTGAAGAAATTGAAATTTTATGCTTTTAGAGGGTTGAAAATGACATTAGGGAGCCTGTTTGATTTATTTTGGTTGATTTCTTCACAAACAAATCTTTCCATCGCTGGCAATGATTAATAGCAGGTTTCCCATGTCATTATTACTATAATTCAATTGATTTGTCATCACACCGTTGACAGAAGCAAACCCCAGAATAATGAATAGATATGACAAATTTTAAAAAACATAATTTCAGTCACTATCTGTCTATAAAAGTCAGTTTACTTGATCAACACGGAAGACTTTCTAGCAGCGGCAACAATCCACAAAGACAGAAAGAATGAGTAAATCGGCACAAGAAGCTTACAAACATGGCTGGCCAGATTTTGACCAATCCGCAGGAAAAAATGTATTGCTGACCAACCATGAATGCAGAGAGGCCTAGTGGGATGATGGCCAATTGCAGGAAAATGAGCAATCTGGCAGCTTTCTACAACATAACTTATTGATGAGAGAATCACTGCAAATATCCAGACCTTAGACAAGAGGATCCTCGATACGAAGACAAGTACGGATCCTTTTCTACAGAATTTCGGTAGCCACACGCTGTCACACTTATTTTTTTATAGATGGAACTAACAATGATGGGGGAGCAAGTACGGATTTCCGTAAAAATATGGAAGATTCAAAGCACCGATATTCGAATTAAACAATCATTTTTCTGATAGTTGGAAAAAACAATTTTGGGGCTTTAAGATACGAACATCTCGCTAAAAGAATTTTTGGTCCATTTACCCCGACCCCCCATCTCATTTTTTTTTTTTTACAGTAGAGGGTTTTATGGCGCTCGCAACTGCATAAGGTCATATGAGCGCCAAGGGGTGGGTGTCAACAGAGAAGTCTTTACAGGAAATCAGACTTAGACTGCTCACCTCTCTAGCTTCAACTATCAAGGCACCCCGGAAATAGAAGGTCACAAGAGAGTGACAAACATACAAAAGAAGTATTAGGAAAGAAAAAGCAGCAGTTTCCTGTTGTAGATCAGGTAGTTATGAACAAGGGGAAGGAACCCACCTCCAGTGAATACAAACATTTGAAATACATTTTAAAAATACTAAACAAATTCCAAAAATTCAGAAAAAATAAAAATTAGAAAAAGAAAATTTCGTAGCAATGACAATGAAAAATTAAATTTTTATCCAAATTGCTTACAAGCTTAAATAAAAGAAGAGTAGATCTAAATTCTAAGAACTGTGGAATTTAAGTTTTAAACATCCATTGATAAATAAAGTTACTGTATTGGGATTCTTGTTTGCAAAATTTTGCAGGACTTTCATATATATAGGAAAATATAGCTAAATAGTGGGACCTGTCTTGATGTATTTTGAGGGAAAACTGTTCATAGGTCAGTAATGAATTGGAGTATATGCATGAAACTTGGCTTTTTCACCTGATTTTAGTACAGAATATAGTTCTACTATCACTTTTTCTATGTCTTTATTACTTTAGATCTTAAAGACTATTATTTGCGAGAAATTTGTTGAATAGCGTGACATCATTATTAATGCGACCGATCACCCCTTTTTCAACTCAATAAGGTGGTACCGGGAAAACCCACAATGAAGTCACAGGTGACCTATTTAGTTATAGGCAACAAATCATGCGCCGCCCAGCGATCAAATGCCTCTCACATGCCGCCAACTCCCGGGTTGAGTCCTTGATCTTGTTCCCAGCTCTTGCATTTTGTCAATGAGACAGATTTGAAATTTTAAACCAATAAAGAAGATGCGGACCTCCTGTGTGGTCTGCGGTCAATTCGCACAATCACGGCAATTTCTTTGGTTCTAGAAATTGCTCAGTATTGTACGCTTGCACGCCGTTAGTTTAACCTTTCCTCTAATAAGTTGCCCAGTTTCGTTTATTATTGTCCCCGAGTTTTCCCGTAACTATTCTTAGAGGAGTCACTATTGATCCCGTTCGGCCCAAAAATTACCCCTCGGGCAGAGCTCGATTGTCATTTCTAAATATAGTCGGGAGTTTAAAAATAATTGTTATGCACATTCATGAAATTGTTCGAGCTTAACTTTAATCAGGGTGTCCGACCGGTCACTCTCACCCTCATGGCCAGGCCCTAGACCTAAATTCGACATCTAATTAATCTTAATCACCCCGAACACCTGCTGCGTTTTCATCAATATCTGAAAACGCGATCCCGCTTCGATCTGCCCTAATTCTAAAACTATGGCGCAGTAGAATGTTATTTCGGTATCAAAGAGAAGAAGAAACATTGTGCAATAGCTATGTGAAACAAAATCCCAGCCCCAGTCATGTCAAGGCGAGACTTCCTTTCTAAAGATGCCTGGTCAGACTGGGCGATTCCAGGCACATAGGGAAATTCCCGGGCAGGTGTAACGTGTTGACAGTGCTCAAGGGCACAGAACAACAAAATTAGATATGACAATAATTGAACAACTGTGTTCCACCACATGTGCATCTTCAGGGGCAAGGCAAGATCATTTGTAACCAGCTGAGAAAGTCACTTACCTCAGGAACGTAGTTATCCCTTCTCTCTCTCTCTTCCTCCTGGAGCTTGATAGAGATGTTTCTCACTGGCCCCTTCTGGATTCTCTTCATCAAATGAGTTACGAACCTTTCATTGGGACAGAAGAAAAAAAGACATGCAGATATGGGGGGAAACTCAATAACACAACAAATAGAGCTTATTTTACGCTCAGCACATTACCTACAAATGCAATACTATATTTCTTTAAAAAACTTAGGAAAGAGATAACACTGGAGAGGGAATTGAAAAGAGAATATGAAAAACAAATCGTTTTACTGGGATTGACACTGATGTAGATCCAATGAAATTGGCATTTTGAGTACTAGATCTATTTTAATATCCATGGTATGGGGCCTTTATATTTCCCAAATATGCAGAAATAACATTTCAAATTCAGGAACAGTTTCACTTAGAAGAACTTTTAAACTTTCCAAGATTGGATACGTAGGCCCACTGCCAATGTTTTTAAATTTTAAGTCTCATGTAAAATGAATGGTAAAACAATTAGCAAAACAGCCTGTCAGAAGGACAAGCACATTCTGAGAGTAAAGTGGTAATGGTAATATAATGAACTCAACAGAAAAACAATATCATAAACATTTAGTAATCTGTTAACAATACAAAAAGAAGGTTTCATAGAAATTGTTAGGCTACATAGCACAGCAAGATCGTTAACAATTCAATCTTCAACAATCTAAAGCTTCTTTCACACAAAATGTTTCGGAGTTCACGTCCTCAACTTAAGATTTAGATCTACCTCCAATCACTTGACTTTTACATCTATCACTTAAATTTAGCTCACTGTCTGCAGACTGCAGATAATCATCCTACATAACATTTATTAAACTTACCCAGCAATCTTGTTCCTCAGCTTTTTGCTGGGAATGATTGCAATCTCTTCACATACACGTTTGTTGGTATGGAAGTCATTTGTCAGTCGTGTGTAATATTTCTCAATAATGACACGGGAGGCCTTCTTCACGGTCTTTGTCCTGACACGAGCCTGTTCAAATGGGACGCAAAAACAAATGAATGAAACATTTATACTGGTTCACATCTTCAAAGATAGCAGCATGATTCTTTAAGTCTTAGATGCTATTAGCGTAAAAACATGTCAAAACAATCATCTTTTCACTTTCGACTCAGGCGAAGAGGCGTAATGCAAACAAAACCAAAGTCAAAGGATAAAAAACGAAAGGTTAGTAGAAAGTGATATCTAGGCTAATTTAATTACACAATTTCTAAAAGCCCAGACAGGCCATCACGTAAATTGATGAAAGAATGGGGGACGTAGATCTAGGCCACTGTCAGTAAACACAACAAACTCGGACATGCTGAGTTAGATTACAACACACATGAAGCTACAGCGAGCACCTAGTACACCTGTGATTGGCCCAAATATAGATGACGTAGACCTACTTCCGCCATCTAGGCCTAGATCTATCTTTGTCGCCTTCCGGGGTTTCCCTCGCCAGTGACTGTTGGCTGGATCTTGCCATGTTTGTTCCTTTTGTATTAATTAAATTTAATTTGTGTTCTCTTTTGTCTTTTATAAACAATCTCAGCAATTCTCATTCCATAAATTTACCTTCTCCTCAAAGTTGTACACAAACACACAAGCGCGTACACACACACACTACGCGGTAGTGTTAATGGCTTTTTTTTTTTACTCATGCACCCGGCTCAAGTACATGTTTTATATACTTTTTTTCTAGATTGTAGTAGTACTTTGCATGCTGAACACGAATATATATATATATGTGGCCTTCATTTTTGCCGCAAATCAATAGTTATTGAGTAATTGATGTTTGGAAATCGTAACATTTTACTTGATTTTAACAACATGGGGAGTTTCAAGGGGGGGGGGGGGGGGGGGGGCATGCCCCTGCTTTTCACAATAATCTTATGTTTTGGCAATTACGATTGATATTTACTTGAACGGAGTGTCTACGTATACGGTAACCGGCAACCGGGTACGTAGTCTCAGTGTCACATAGGAGGGTAACCGGGCAGTTCAGAACTCCAAGTTCAGTTCTTGTCATCCGGTGTTGCCTTCATGCCCACCCCTCCCCCGACTGTACCTTACTGCCTTTAACAAAATCAACAATCCCCCCATTCCGGAGCCCTATACTTCGCAGCGCAAAGACTTTGAATATACTTTGGCGACCCCCAACCGGTACTCACAATGAGATGCACACGCGCAGGTTCACTGGTGCTTTTTCAGTAGTTCACACCCCCCTTATTTGAGCCTAGATCTATATTGAGATCTATACGTTATTACGTTTGATGCGCGGCGAGCTAAGATATCAAATCTAACAACTGCAAAACATCAAATTATGGTAAAATTCAGGGGGGCATGTTCCCCTGAAACGTGAGAATAGCGCAGGCGAGTCTTTTGGCTATTCTCACCCGGTGGGCGTTCACCATTACAGCCTAGGCCAACCAGTGAAGCGTTCACCCTGAACCACAGAATTCTACACTGTGATAACAGAATTATAGAATTCTGTGCTGTGAACAAACGTTCTAGATCTATTACGACTGTTAGTGTTAGCCTAAAAAGCGTGCAATTTTGTCTGTGGGCAGTGGAGAAAAAGAGAGAGAGAGGAATAGCGCGAGAACTTCCGGGCAAAACAAAACGGTGACCCGCGTAGTTCAGCTCGATTCGGAAAGTTAAATAGCCGTAGCATCTTTGTAGACAACCAAATTAATGAAGTTCTGTTTTTTAACATAATTTTTTAACTTTGTTTTGGTCAATTTGATCGTCCACACCGATAGACAGTACTCAGAAAGAGACAGAGAGAGGGGGGAGGAGTAGATCTTGCGAGAACTTTCGGGCAAAACATAATGACGACCCGCGTAGTTCGGCTCGATTCAAAAAGTGAAACAGCCATAGCATCTTTGAAGACGATCAAATTAGCTTACTTTTGTGCTATAACGTTATTTTTTCTTGGCTTTTATCAATTTGATCATCCACACCGATAGTATTCCAAAATGAGGAAAAACAGGTCTTGTTTCACATCGGGTGAGAATAGCCTACGCTGGCAAGTCTCACCCGGGGTGAGAGGTAGATCGTATTTTTATCCTCACCCCCCCCCCCCCCCTACTCTTGAGGCCAAAACCCATGAATAACAATTGCTCGGTGGGAACTACCGAAAAAGCGCCGGTTCACTGACTAGTCACGATGGCAAGCCCGACAAGACGCTTGTATGACTTTCTTTTTTTTTTTCAGCAACTGACAGCACAGGACAAATTTATTTTCATTCCGGTTTCGTGTACGTAGATACTGAGACTAAGTGCCTGGTTACCGTGTACGTAGATACTGAATCTAGGTGAGACTAGGTGCCCTGACTCTGACCCTGCTACCGTGTACGTAGACACTCCGTTCCTTGAAAACAATTGATTTGCAAGGGTTTTAGTGGCCATTTGTGAGAAATTTTACCTTGACTTTATCTGTAAACATATTACAACGAAACAGTAGCATACAACAGTAACAAAAACCACTAGATCTAGATCTAGTGGCAACAGCAACAACAAGAAAAGAGCTGCGACTATCTTTGTTAGTTTGGTGTGCGTGTGAGTGTGTGTGTGTGCGCGCATGCTTAGCCTACTATAAGGCCACAAGCGTGTGCGGGGTGCATTTGTGTATGTGGTGAGTGTAGCCTACGTGTGTGTCTATGCATGTGTATTTGTATGAGTGTGTGTTAGAGAGAGAGGGTGTGTGAGTGCATGATCATCATGAGTGTGCATGTGTTTGTTAACCGCTTTTGTCAGACTCACTCAGTCGCAATTAACGCTAGGCTACCCACTACACACATGCATGCAAGCGCACACACAATGCCCAAGCAGTAAGCGATGAAACTAGATCTAAGTGACGTAGCCCAACGCGCACTAAAAGTGGAAAAGCGGGCCCGCCACTGTGAGTGTGAGATCTAATCTAGAATCTAGATTTTAGATCTAGAGTGGTGTCGCCGGTACGCGTGCACTTCGCGATTGTTGAACGTATTTTCCGCCATTTCCGGCTTTGTACTTTCGTTTTTAGCTATTCCATTCAAGAAACTATTGACCTATAAAATGGTCTTGCTCATAGTCGCCAGATTTCTTAAACGTTGTGTGCCCAACAGTTTTTCCAACCTAGGGTGTTGTCTTCACTGAGCGTGCATTTCTTCTCAGTGCGTGCATGGGATTCTTCACTGAGCGTGCACCCATATATACACGTTGAAAGCCAAAAGAAGAGGAATCTGATAACGTTATAGCATTAAATGACCACACAGGAAGATAACAAGTCACTTTAGAAGCAAAGTAAGGCAATTTTAATTAGAATCTAAAATTTAATTTAGGGGGTATAAATAGTTCAAATACATAGTGAAAAAAAATCAAACAGAATTTTTCACAACTAAAATCCACATTTCCCTACTCTTCATCACTCATTCATTCCTCTGATCTTTCCATCTTTCACACAGTCCACATGCCACCATCCATGACATTCTTCAAACTGCAACCAAATAATCTCTAAAATTGAGTCTACTTTTTTTCTTAGTATTCTACTAGATATTTCATTGTGCACGCGCAGAGAAAACTCGAGTTTTTTCAGTCTTCACAACGCGTGCACCCCCCCGATCCCGAAACCCGCATTACAACTTGGCATAGAACTCGATAAAAGGTCACGTGAAACACTCAAGGAAGGAGTAGGCACATTTTTTAAGCTAGGGGGCGCGCACTGTCTATTTGAACCAATCAGAGGCAAATAGGTCATAAAAACTAGTCCACAGGTCAGCGTTGAATGTCAACTTGCCACAGCTGATAAAAAGACTCTCGATGATCCCTTGTCGGCAAACGAGTGATGGAAGTAAACAAAAATGGCTGCTGCACACACTGACGCATTCAATCAAACGCAAAAACGCAATTTGAGGCTAAAAACAAAGGAAAACAAAAGTGCACGCACCGAGAAGGCGCACGCGCAGGGGCTACACCACTCTAGATCTAGATCTAGATTTAGTCAACTGGTGAGGGAAGCCCTGGACGACAACAAAAATAGAAGGCAAATGCGTCATCTAAATTTGGGCCAATCACAAAGGTGTGCATAGTTCTTGCTGTTGCTTCATGTGAGTACAATGAAGTCTGGGTCTGAGAGACAAGACTGACAAGAGATAGTGAAAGTGCCACTACTGAACACTGTCAGCGACTGGCTGCAGCTGTAGGAAATACTGTCAAGGCAAAGGAACTCCAGATCTATGGTCTGGAGTTTTTCCCATACCTACTTCGGAAGAGGGATGCAATACATTCATAAAACTTTTATCATTGTTCTAAAACGGAGGAAAGGCCATGCATATCAAACAACAAAACAAACTGCTTCAAAGAGAATGCTAAAGAGCGCATAAAAATGTCATTAAATTACAGAACTAGACCCGAATCACAATAATAGTTTAATACACAGTATTAACAACATCTTGCCATTTAAAATCCGGTTGAATTGAAACACGATAGAAGAAAATAAATCAGATATTCTACGATTTATATGGCGATGTGATTCGGTACAATTCTGTTTTGACCCACCATTTTGACGGCAAAAGCGGAAAAGGAAGTTGAAATGTGATCCAAACAAAAAGTACAATCTTTGTTACAAACAAAAAAGAAGGATTTGAAGATATCTTAACGAGCTTATGTTTCTTTTGGGCATGCAAATGCGTTATTTTTTTGTTTTGTTTTTCAAAAATTTGCAAAAATATATTGCTGACTGATAGAATAAAATAATAGTTTTAACATGGTTAAAAATAAATAACAAGAACTTAAGGTTTGAAAAGGTAGATAAAAAAAAATTAACAGAAAAATTGAGAGTGTGTGGGGAAAAACAGTATGCCAATTTGGCCTTATCAAATTATGGTCACGCTGTTAATTTGTTAAAGTTACCAACTCAATACGATTATCCTTTCCGTTGTCACATCGTGCATGTTTCAGTTATGATCTTCGTTGCGATTCTTTTGTGTTTCCAGTTGAAAAAGAAAATACCTCAGTACTTAGATTACTGGGTATGAAATATTTCAAGCCTTGTTTGCAAGGCGTATTTCCTCTCCTCTTCAACTGTCTCAAAGCCCCCCCCCCCCTTTTTACTCTCTCTCTCAACTCTCTACCTCTCTCTCTCTCTCTCTCTCTCTCTCTCTCTCTCTATCTATCTATCTATCTATCTATCTATCTATCTATCTATCTATCTATATATTATATATATATAATTTATATTACACACATGTAATTCGCGATACACGCTCTTGTTTTTACGTCACTCAGTCGGCTTACCATGCTCTAGTCTCAAGGTCTAGGTAATACATGTATCAGAAGATCAATGTCTCTCCACTTATCTCCTTTAAAAAAAACCAGGTACTCAACCCCAAGTGTTACCTCTATCAAACCTTTACTTCGTGTTTATTTTGTTTAAAAGGGCACGGCGCAACTTAATTACACCCCCACAAACACCAGTTGATTTACAGCAAATGAATATATACAGGTTACTCTTAAATGATATTTTGAAGTAGACTTTTTATTCCATTAAACTATCTTTAATTCTATGGACTGCACACGGGAATCAGTGCTTGCGTCCATGTTTTCAAGACGTATGTCTGATCAAACACGGCACACGCCATCCTTGGGACCCGCGATCTGAGGGCAATCTTTGATGAGGCCGCCTTGAGGTTTGACCTGAGGCCCACTGAGGCGACCTTGGCCAAGAGCACACACACGGCACAGGCCAGGACTGTGAAACCTAGTGCATATATTATTATTCCATCAAGGCGACAACCCAGGCGAAATTTTCGAGGTCGCTGGAAAGTTTAGAAACCGGTCTATAATATTTGAAAAAGAAGCAAAAGAGGCTCTGGTCCAATTAAAATATTTAAAAGTGGCTTTCTCCATATGTCTAAACACACACACACACACACACACACACAGACAGACAGACACACACACACACACACACACACACACACACACACACACACACACACACACACACACACACACACACACACACACAATTGACACTTACAGTAAAGGACACTGCGCATTTTCTCTGAGTTTTTTTTTTTTGGGCTGAGGGGTGGGGGGTTAATTTAGTAGGCCTAATTT